TCCCAAGTAGCTGGGACTACAGGCGCCTGCCACAACACCTGGCTATTCCAAGTCTCCTACTCTTTCTAATTAAGCTCAAGGGTATTTTGTACTCTTTTGCACCAACCCTGGCATAGACCAGGTGTCTGAAATGGCAGAAAATGGCTCCTTGATGTCATCATTGCCTTTCTTCCCTACAAAATCCCCAGCCTGCCACAGAGACCTTCCATTCTTTGGATCATGCCTATGCTTCCTCCTCACCTGCCTACCTGGAATCCGGATCAAAGTGCAGTTACCTAAGGCCACATGCAGGCTCAACTCTCCCCACGCAGCAACTCTGCCTCCAGAATGAATCCAATACCCCATTTCTGCTTCTAGACTCAGCCCCAGACCACCTCTTCTATGCACCTGCCATAATCCAAGTGTCTAAGTAGCAGGGGACACTCCTTCCCTTGCTTTCCTCTGCCTGATACATTCGTCCTAACACGTTTGTCACTGCAGCTATTCATGTCTGCCTCTCCGTAACACTGTCACCTTCTTCTGGAAGGTGGTCCTAGCACCTAGAGACCCTCAGGGTGTGTTCAGGAGTTTCGAAAGGAGGGTGATGGCCGTGCCCTCATCCTTACCTTGTGAGGCCTGTGCTTCTCGTGAACGTGCAAAATGTGGATCCGGAGCCGGTCCCGCTTCTCAAAGGATCGTTTGCAGAGGGAGCAGGGAAATTTCCTATCACCACGGTCCACACAGGGGGTGTACTTGAGGTGCTTGTCTCTGTAGTATTTGTAGGTAAACACTTTCCCACACCTCTCACACCTATAGCCTTCTGCAGACTCTGTTGAACACAGGAAACACAGTGGCTTTTTCAGTTATCTCCTTCCATTTTATTTCCTCCAAGAGGATTAAAAAAAATCTTTTATTTCAGAAACATATACCGAAGTGAAAATAAACTAGTGTGATAAACCCTCAAGTGCCCAACACCAGGCTTGAACAGTAACCAGCTCATAGACAAACCCGTTTTCATTTATAGCACCTCTTTCCATCACGGATTATTTTAATACGAATTCATCATTTGATTCAAGAATACCACAAACTGTAAGCTTTAGAAGATAATATCTTTTTAAAAAGTATAATGCCATTGTCATATTTAAACAAGTAACTCCTATTCCTTAATGGAAATATATGTATGTTCTTATATACATACATATCTAACTACTTCACGGTCCGTTTGCTTAAATTAGGATTCAAGCAAAGTCTACACACTGTACATTTTGTTACGTCTCTTAAATATCTTAACCCTTAGGTTCTCCTTCCCTTGTTTCCTGAAATGTATTTGTTGAAAAAACCCTTCGTCCAGCCTAATAAGAGCAGTTTAACCCTATAGTTCTTGAACACATCCTTGCCTGGCACTGCTACACAGTGACTAGACTAGACATACTTATTTTATGCCTTTAAGATTAGCCTGAGCTATAAGTTCAAAGCAGTCACCACCACCTGGCAGCTAACTTTCCAGGCATCCCAGTGCTGTTCCATTGGACTCCATGGTTCCAGGCACCCTCTTGGTTTGCAGCCTACTTCTCTAAACTTTTGATGAAGATTCCAGAGCTAAAATCTTCCATGTTTTAGAGTAAGAATGACATCTTGACTTCCCTAAGAAATGGGGTTACTGGGATGACTAATTGAATTCTAACACTTATTGGTCTTCCCACTGTGAGTGATAGCATCACTGAGTGACAGGCAAGACCAAGGAGAGTAAATCTGATCAATGGAGGAGGGAAGAAGAGACAGGTTAGAGAGGGTGCAGCTGGACCCTAGCAAAAGAGGCCCCGGGTCCAGGGGTGTCTATGCGTTGGGGGAAGGAGGGAGGACAGGGGCCTCCAACAAAAGCATCCCTGCTGAGGACACTCAGGATTCCAGGAGATGAAGTATCTTTGACTATGAATGCACCACTGAGACCTCATTGTTTGCCCCCAAGGGAGGGAGAAGAGCAGAGAGTGAGTCCATGCAAGGGTCTGTAGATAGAAATCTTTTTAGCAGCATCAGGACAGCAGGGAACCTGTCCATCAGGGGCTTTGTTAGTTGACAACTACATCCCAGGCACGTTTAACAGGTGGCTAAGGAAATAAACCATTTATTAAGTAAATAACCAGGAAGGCAAGTGCCAATCCCAGCCTACTCCAGGCCCTCCAAGGCCCGGCTATGTCTGTCACTTTCATTGAGGTGCTAATATTCTCAAAATCCCCTTGTTGGGACAGTTTTTTTTTTGCAGAGCTAGAATTTTCATTGGTCAGAAATACCTGGTCTTCCCACTTCATGGGGGGAGTGGGGAGAAGAAAACCAAAATTCAGAATAAGGGCTCAGTGCCGAATTTGCATAAGAATAGCTATTAAGCAGAAAGGAGAGTGACATTACTAAGCTTCAGCTGTCTACTACATCTTCTGCTCAGGTCTTTGAAAGTGTATCTTAACCTCATTTTATCTTATTCCCTATCCTTCTACCCCCCTTCAAACCCCCACACCCCAACACACACACACATACTCTCACACATGCACGGCTTGCTTGCATAGTCAACTAACCCTCCCACATAGAGTTCAGACCCTTCCCTCTATGCTCAAGATCTTACAGCTTTTAAGAAGAAAAAAAAAAACATTTCTTTTGAGAGCAATTTTTATTTTTCTTTCTTCTTTTAATCATATCCGAACTGCTCATATTAACAAAAACAAATGAATTCACCCATAATTCTTCCCAACAAATTGTTTACAAGTTCATGGCTACATGCGTCCAAAATTCATGTCATGTAACAATGCTGTGAAGCACCAGACACCATTTGGCCCAGAACTGCAGCAGAGCTAAGTGCATGCTGCGGGTTCCCTGTTGCTTGTTTTGACTGTAATCTCTACTATCTGCACAATATTCCATGTTAACAACATAGAGGTTGACTATCCTGTATCCAAAATGCTTGGAACAAAAAAATGTTTCAAATTTTCTCTAACTTGGGGATATTTCATATACATGATGAGATATCTCGAGGGTAGGATTCAAGTCTAAACTCAAGGCTCGGCACCTGTGGCTCAAGTGGCTAAGATGCCACCTAAGGTGGCGGGTTCAAATCCAGCCTGGGCCCGACAAACAACAATGATGACTACAACCAAAAAATAGCCGGGCATTGTGGCAGGTGCCTGTGGTCCCAGGTACTTGGGAGGCTGAGGCAGAAGACTCGCTTAAGCCCAGGAGTTGGAGCTTGCTGTGAGCTGTGATGCCACAGCACTCTACCCAAGGGGACAGCTTGAGGCTCTGTCTCAAAAAAAAAAA